TTAATCTGAACATTCCACTTTATAATATGAGGTGCCCCCAGGGACATAAATCAGAATTAACTTGCATATACACATATTAAATTACACTCTTCCATATAATATACTGAAAACCTCACACAAACACTAGTAAAAAGCTCTCACATAAACTAGTGAAAACATTGACCTCTTATATAATCTACTCAAAAGCTCTCATACAAAGTAGTGAGAACTGTTCATATAAACTGGTGAAAAGCTTTACCTTTCATACACACTACTAGAAAGCTTTCATATACACTATTAAAAAGCTCTCATATACACTACTAGAACGCTCTCATATACACTATTAGAAAGCTCTCATATACACTATTAGAAAGCTCTCATATACACTATTAGAACGCTCTCATAAACACTATTAGAACGCTCTCATAAACACTATTAGAACGCTCTCATATACACTATTAGAACGCTCTCATATACACTATTAAAACGCTCTCATAAACACTATTAGAACGCTCTCATATACACTATTAGAACGCTCTCATAAACACTATTAGAACGCTCTCATAAACACTATTAGAACGCTCTCATAAACACTATTAGAACGCTCTCATATACACTATTAGAAAGCTCTCATATACACTACTAGAACGCTCTCATAAACACTACTAGAACGCTCTCATAAACACTATTAGAACGCTCTCATAAACACTATTAGAACGCTCTCATATACACTACTAGAACGCTCTCATACACGCTACTAGAAAGCTCTCAAACACACTACTGGAAAGCTTTCATACACACTATTAGAAAGCTAAAATATATGGTCCCCCTCCTTTAATTTAGGCAAACATTGCTCAAATATCACCGAATCCAGATGGTTTGTTGTTGATGAAGAGAGGAATAAACACAGTTTAAGATTTGCAGCTAAATTAATTTGTTTCTATATTATGGAACTGCTATCAGGCACTTCCCATCATCTTATATCAGTAATAAAAAATTATAAATAAAAATTTGGTATTTGGTGACTTGACTTTTATTTCTGTCAGGCTGAAGTGAAAAAACTTGGAAAGAGACTGATTCTCTTGGCGTTTAAAATAACAACACAAAACAGCATAAGAAAACCGCATTTATTTTTTTTATTTTACAATTTTGTAAACAACAGCGGCTGATTAAACTAAATGTCTCAACCTTGTATAATTTTACGACTTTTTATTTAACCAAGAAATGATCCGAAAGGCCTGGGAAATGATCAGCTCCGCTTATGTGGCTGCAACGCGCGGCGCGCTCCCGACACAGGTGGAACAGATTTTCACATGGGAACAGAATTTCGCACAACACCGGAAAAGGATCTCTGTTGAAGCAAAAACATAAAAAATAAAGTCGAGTAATGCCCATGCTTCTGTGAGTTGTTTAGCGGATAGCTGAGCATGAATCAATAATTTTATTTGATACAATTTCGGCCGGAGATAGCACAAAATGTACGGAGCTAGCCAGAATGACCTCCGTTTAAAACAACTTCCGGTGTAATGACGGTCCTTCCCAAGATATCTATGGTCCTTCCTGTTTCACTGAAACACCTTCCGTTTCAACTGAAACACCTTCCGTTTCAACTGAAATCCGCTAATAGCTTTTCAGTAGTGTGTATGAGAGCTTTCTAGTAGCGTGTATGAGAGCGTTCTAATAGTGTATATGAGAGCGTTCTAATAGTGTTTATGAGAGCGTTCTAATAGTGTTTATGAGAGCATTCTAATAGTGTTTATGAGAGCGTTCTAATAGTGTTTATGAGAGCGTTCTAGTAGTGTATATGAGAGCTTTCTAATAGTGTATATGAGAGCGTTCTAATAGTGTATATGAGAGCTTTCTAATAGTGTATATGAGAGCGTTCTAATAGTGTTTATGAGAGCGTTCTAATAGTGTTTATGAGAGCGTTCTAATAGTGTTTATGAGAGCGTTCTAATAGTGTATATGAGAGCGTTCTAATAGTGTTTATGAGAGCGTTCTAATAGTGTATATGAGAGCGTTCTAATAGTGTTTATGAGAGCGTTCTAATAGTGTATATGAGAGCTTTCTAATAGTGTATATGAGAGCGTTCTAATAGTGTATATGAGAGCTTTCTAATAGTGTATATCAGAGCGTTCTAGTAGTGTATATGAGAGCTTTTTAATAGTGTATATGAAAGCTTTCTAGTAGTGTGTATTAAAAAAGGTAAAGCTTTTCACCAGTTTATATGAACAGTTCTCACTACTTTGTATGAGAGCTTTTGAGTAGATTATATAAGAGGTCAATGTTTTCACTAGTTTATGTGAAAGGTTTTTACTAGTGTTTGTGTGAGGTTTTCAGTATATTATATGGAAGAGTGTAATTTAATATGTGTATATGCAAGTTAATTCTGATTTATGTCCCTGGGGGCACCTCATATTATAATGTAATGTTGCCACCTCCTGGTTAAGGGGGGGAGGTGCTTATTTCAGAGGTGTAAAAAAACAGATCACCTGTAAGGGGGGGCTATGGCCACCTCTGGCCAACCCGTAGTTCCGCCCCTATCCTTTACAAGCTCTGCCTATACAACAGTACAATCCAAAAGCAAAACAGCAAAAAAAAATTTGCATGCAACAATACTCAATATTCCTACCAATTCTTAATTTTTGCTGTAAGAGAAGTGATATATGGTTTCTCTTTTTTTTAATATGTAAATTTTAAAACGAACGTCAGGCTGCAACTAATGGTTATTTTGCAAATCAATGAATCTGTCAATTATTTTTTTCAATTAATCAATTATTATTTGGATAGCCAAAGTTTCCTTAAAAAAGATTTCTTATAAAATTAAACCAGGTGAAACTAAAACGTTTCCACTTGTGGAGTTCTAGATAGAGCATATTGAAAGCATATTTTTTATTTTAAATGCAAAATGTTTATATATTTTTTTTTTTTACAATTTTGATATTATTACTGCTCTAAGTGGGGCGCTCTGTCATCTTAAGCCATGTTTTAGAGTCTCTATACTCCACTTAACAATTAATCGATAACTAAATTAATTGATGATTATTTCAATAATCAATTAATCACCATTAATCTGATTAATTGTTTCAGCCCAAATTTTATGATATCTCATCTGGTTTGTGGGTGTTATTTGGAGAAATTGACTCTCAAGTCTGCGAGACATCCATAAAATCCCCTTCTCATTATTAACGTTAACAAGCTTTGTTTTAAATGAGTTGGTGGTTTTTGTGCAATCAACCAGTTCCTATGGAAATATACCGCAGATCTAGATGTTTCCTGCTCTCTCTGTAACTTTTATCTATAGACAAGGATTAATCATTTTTGGAAATGTCTTTGGTCATAGAATTTCTGGAAACCATTATTAATTTCATCTCCAACAATATAAAAAATATAGTTCAGTCTGAGAGACTTGCATGTTTCTTCTCATTTATTTCATTTTCAAGCTAATTTTTTATATTTATAGAACAATGCAATACAAAATTGGAAACAATCCCGGATTCTAGCAAAAAAAAAAGAAAAAACTATTAAGACAATAATTGCCTTTAAAACACAACCTAACATTGTGTTATATTCATATTTTCTGTATTTTTTATATTTCTTGTTTTTGTCATATCTGATTTATTATGCTCTATTTCTCTAAACATATATATTTTTTTAATTTTCAAAAACAAATCTGTTTGCTTAAAAGAGGCCTGGGCTTGTACTGAATACAGCAAATTGGTAAGGATTCCTAATGTGTATATTTCCTATCAATGGGTCATGGATCTCCTATTACCAATATTTGATGCATATAAGCCATAAGTATTCCCACAATTCTTTTGCCGATAGGATATATACATATATATATATGGTGAAGCAGGAACAGTACAAGATGGATTCTCATGTGTTTGCAAACGCAAAAAGTTCACTAAAATATAGCTTTCAAGCAAGGTTAGTTTTTTTTAGAAGGTTAAATTCCCAATTTCACAAGCATCATCCATATGAGTTTCCTTTGTGTGATGATTTCAAGATTGAAGGCTGTCTGGATTAAGCACAGCGGACTAGAGTTCCTTTCCTGCTTTGTCCCTGCTGTTGAAAAAGGAGCTAGAGGTTACGATCAGCCATATAAATATCATCCCTGGTGATATGCCATTAATTTGGTTGAGGTGCGTTTTGAAAAGGGATGCAGCATGACCAAAATCGGTCCTGGAGAGCTGCTGTTCTGCAGGTTTTTGAGGTTTCCGTGCTTTTGCACAGCCTATTCTGATGATAGCACGTCAGAAAAAGCCTGTTAATCAGCTTAAAATAAAAATCAGCTATGCTGGAACAGGGAAACCTCTAAAACCTGTAGTACAACAGCCCTCCAGGACCGACTTTGGGCATGCCTGACTAAGGGTTACAGGGTGTAGGTCACAAGGACTGTACCTTGGCAACTCTAGAAGAGAAAATTTGATCAACTCATTGCATTAATATATTATGAAACATTTTTGCAATCTCTTTGATAAAATAAACCTCTCTTACAGTAGATTAATTAAAAAAGGAAGGAATAATATGACTTTCTAATAGACTATTTTACTCCAGATGCAACCAAAAAAAAAAAACAAATATATATATATATATATATATATATATATATATATATATATATATATATATATATATATATATATATATATAAGATTAAATTCACTTTTAAAAAGCCCAGCTGAATAAGTTTTACATTTTAATAAACCATAAAGTAAATTTATGACGCTGATAAACTATTTCCGGACTGGGACAATACTTTTATATTCAAAACACACCCCCATTTCAAGTTGTTAAGGAAATAAGTTAAGAAAAATTGAATAGGCATATTAATGCTTCAAAACAAACAAAATGTGTGAACTAAAATGCTCTTAACAACACAGTAGTTTTTTATTTTGTATTTCAAAGGGTGGGGCGTCTTTAAACGTCTATGTACAACCGAAACCTCATTTCGCTGCAGCCATCTTGCCCTGTACATCCAGTCTGAATAAAGTCTAAAATTTGAATATTACGCCTGTAGCAAACCGGGATATTTTACCACCAAAGGTTTCGAGGTTAAATTCTGAAAAGGATTTGTTACAGTTTAAGTCTAATTAAGTATCCTAGGATGAAAGATTCGGTGGAAACGTATCGCCCCGTTGAGCTGCTGCACCCTCTGCTACTACTTCTGGAATGACAGCTGAAGCCATTGGTACCGCCTTTATTATGACAGATCAGCCAATCAGAGCTCGGGGAGCTCTCCGGTCGGTACAGTTTTGGCTGTTGTGCGCACGCGCACGTCAGTAAGTAAGTACTTCACTTTTCACAAGCTCGCTGGAGTGTGAAGATGGCGGTTGGTTCCTGTCTGTTGGATGAACTCTTTTCACAGACAGGGTTGAATAAAGCGGTAGTTTGCTATCATTCTTGGTCTGTAGAGTCACCGCTGTCCTTGTTAAACAGAAACCACTTAGGTAGGCACGAGGCAGCCATTAGTTACATGGTCAAAGTTCCGGGACAGGGGGGTAGCTCGAGCTAATGTCCAGCTGGGACTTGGTCAAGACGTTTGCTAAAGCAGGTACGCTTTGATTACTAATGTTCTTTTTACTTGATGCTTTTTGGAGAAAAAAACGAGAGGAAAGAGCCGGAGTTTGCAAAGAAAATAAGTTCTCGCGCTGTAGCCCTCTCCATCACACTCGAGCGTGTGTTGCTCCCTGTTAAACTTGTTAAAGTGCAGCGAGAGAGAGGGGGGTCTCCGCTAAACGAGTTCCCAATGGTTCCGCTATGGACGCAAAACGGGACACGAGCTGGGAAAACCACTCAATGACGGTATAAGTTTCCCCATAAATTACCCGGGGAAAGTGGGTTCTTTCTCTGTGCAGACTTTTAACGGGAGCCAAACTATGAACTCTCACAATTCAGGAAGCGTTGCCACTGGAAACAGCAGCAGCAGCACTGTGATATCAACTGCAGCTGTCAGCGCAGGAGCGGTGTTGTCAAAAGGGCTGGCGGCCACCACTGTCTCATTGCCCCCCCTGTCAAACAGCGTCATCCAGACGCCACTCGTGAATTCAGACAGTGTTCCTGCTATGAGCCAAGGACCCACGGTGACACTTGTCAGGCCACCTATGCAAGCAGTCGGATCGAGCGCAACTTTAAACGGGAGCAATGCTGCATGCCCAGCTGTGGCTGCTAATGTAACAAATCAGACAGGTATTGGCACTCAAAACCCGCTGCCAAACACCTCTACGTCCAGCAGTGCTGGTTCACACATCATTAAAGCAGAGCCACCAACAACTATAATCCAGTCGGCACAGCAGCCTGCTGTTTCAGCCACCCCCAACTCCATCAGTACCCCCGGACCTCCAGGCATGGCAGCTGCAAGTATGCCCGGAATCACACCCCAGACGCTGGCTCCCAGACTCCCACAGACCTCTCCAGGACAGCCCAGTGTTCACAACATCCAGCTACCCCAGGGTGAGGTTAAACTCCAAGTACTGTCGATTTTATTTACACGTCTGGCTTGATCAGTTATTGAAAATGTAAACAGATTATGCACATTTTCACTTTCAGCTATGCTGTATTATATAATGAAGACTCATTTCAGTCAAAGCAACAAGCACAGATCAAATAGAAGAACTTTTTTAGTGTTTGCCACCACTCTGATGCAACTCAGGGCTGTGCTTTTAAGCTGCCTTCTGTCGTTTGCTTTCTGACTTTCAGGTATGGTGCTGGTACGCAGTGAGAGTGGGCAATTATTGATGATTCCTCAGCAGGCTCTGGCCCAAATGCAAGCACAGGCACAGGGAGGCATGGCTCCTCGGACAGCTATGCCAGCAAATGTGTCTGCAGGCCAGGTAAGTTTGGTTTGGTAGTCAGCCAGACTACTTTCGAGGAACTATGTGATATAGATTATTATATATTCTAATCTACAAGTTAACAGGTAAAGCAGTTTTCTTAAATTGGTATTTATTTAAATTTTTCTTTGGGTCACTTTTCTAGGCTTCCGGACCCACAATAATCAGCAGACAAGTAACTCCGAGCAACATCATTCGACCAGCATCACTTCCTGCGATTACTGCTCTTCATAGACCCCCCATCCTGCCAGTGTGTAAATGCTGTATTTTCTCCACACTCCCAACCTGTGCTCTAATCATGATGTTTTAAACTTTCATTCTCATTGTATGCTGATGATCACCAGGCTTCTGAGTATCGGACTTAGTTCTTAATGTCACATTTCCTGTAAGAAGTAAAATTTTATTAATGTATTTTACTGTTAAGCTGCAAAGCCTTTTACTTTTGAAATGTTCCACAATGATATATGCTTATCATAATTTTATTACACTTTACATGCCTCCCGATTTAGCTTTTACAAGCTTTGCATGTTTAAAGATTTAAAAATATTTTTTTCTACTTCAATAATTTCTGTCAGTTTGGACAGAGAGCATTATCAAAGGTCAGTTATCTACTCTTACCAAAATTCTATATTGGATTTATACGTAGACTTTGGAAAGCTAATGCATTGATAAGCTTCAGTCTAAGCAGTTGTACCTCTCTATATCTCCCAACTTTGGGATATTTTGAAGCTAATTTGATGACTAGATTTGATATAAGTAATTATAAAGGAAAGTTGGCTAACTAAAAATCCACACTAAACCTTTAATTTATAAATTTTAATTCCTGGTAAATATTTAAAATTTTATTTCCCACTTCACAATATGGCTGTCACTTAAAGTCTTGATAATTTTGTGATTATTAATGATGTTTGTTTTACAAATTAAGTGAAAAGGTCAGGTGAGGGGTATACTTTATAATGCATGGTTATTCAGGTTTATCTATACCTAAATATAACACGACTCGTTTGTGGTCCTTTTTATGTTTCCTCTGCATTCCATCCTTATTATAGTTATTCCTGAACATGGCAGGTAATTATTTCATCTCAACTGCATGTTTCAAAACTGCTCTATCTAATATACTGCTTTGATTTAATTGGTGATAAACATTAAATACAGATATTTAAGTATTCCAAAAAAGTAAAAAAAAAAACTATAAATAGCCTGAAGATCTACCAAGGTTATGAGCTCCCAAAGGTGTTCTATCGTAAGGACCATGTTACACCTGTTTTAGCAGTCCGAGGTCCCTTAGTGGACGTAATCTAGTCATAAAATGTTTAAAAAATGTTTTAAAATTAAACATTTAAGTATTGGATACAAAATACATAAAAAAATGAACACTTGATGGGAAATTAGAATGCAATTTGACATTTTAAAATTATTACACATGGTTGTTTAGCATTGTGGAGAATTTCACTGACAGCACTGTAGGAAAATATCTTCCTGAACAGTTAGGTGTTTAGGGTTGCCAAGTTGTTGTCAAATGACTTGAAGTCTGAGTGTTTTTTTTTTTTTAAGAACTGTGTTTCTTTGGTGTTTTTTGTCTCTACATAGAGCTCCGTTGGGGCCCCAGTACCAGGAATGGCCCCTAGAACACTCACTCCTACTGCTGGGACCACAGTGACCTCAGTAACTGGGAGCAAAGTAAGTGTTCACTTAAAGCCTCCGTCCTTTACTGCTTTAAGGAGTTTAGGATATTCAGAGTTTGCTGTAAAGGTCACCTGTCCTGTAGTGGTGGGCTGTGAGGGCCTTCATGGCCTTGCCTTCTGGCCTAAAATAAATCAGAAACACTAACCTACATTCACAATCTAAACTTGAATTTTCTTATTTATAACTGTATTAAGTTTTTCCAAACAATGCAGTCTATTATTTTTTTTTTTTTTGTATTTCTCTTGCCTGTCCTGCTTCCATTACAATTATTGTGTTGCTCTATTTTATGTCCAATCAGATTTCAGCCTTATTTCATTACTATATCAATCAAATCTGCCCAGGGCCTTCAGAATCAGCAGTTCTGGCTAATCTGACTTTAAAAATATTAGTAAGGAACGTTTTCTTCAACCAATCAGATTTCACATTTGCCCCACTTGGCCAGCAAGCGGGGTCACCCTAATGTCACCATTTTCTGTCCTCTGATTGGTCAGTTAGAGCAAAGTGTTTACAGCCAAGTTAAACTAGTGACAATCTGAAATTTTAGGTTTGCTTTTGTTAAAATTTTTTTCGGGCTTGAATGGCTGATACTAAATGGAGATACTAATACTCCTTGCACAAAGACAGAAGGATGGATTTTGTTTCTAAATAATCAGCATCTCTGATGAGCAGTGTTGTTTTTGACAGCCATCTTACATTTCACCTTAGTCTTTAGGACGAAAGCTATTATTAGTCTTAGTCGCATTTTAGTCATTATGATATGTGATACTCGGTTTTTAAAGACTAAAACTTAAAAATGTTTTAGTCTAGTTTTAGTCAGTTTTATGTTGCAATAAAAGTTAACCTTTACAATTTTGAATAACAGCCAGATTCTTTATCAGACTGCCCTTGCTTAGATAATATAATTGTTGACAAAAAACTCAAACCTATGACTAGTCTTGTTTTAGTCATCAAATATTCACATTTAGCTCGTCAGTTTCTGTTATCGTCATGAAAAAGAGCTTCAGCGAAATTATTTCGTCAACCTCATCGTTGATGAAAATGACACTGCTGGTGAGTGTGATATATTTCATTTTCATGCTTTATGGGCTATTTTATCTTTTAGATGCATATTGAATCTGAACGGCTATCTCTGATGTAATTGAGGTGGAGCTGCATGTGTGGGTTCTCTCTGGATACTCTGGCTTCCTCACACAGTCTAAAGACATGACTGTTAGGTTAATTGGCTTCTCTAGATTGTCTTTAGGTGGGAGAGGGGTTCCCACTAGGTTTCATACACACTGCCCACCACTGCTATCCAGTGATGTATAACTACTATTCTTAGGAGACTTGAGGACCTTTTTAAATGTGGATTATCTCTGTCTGTGTGTGATAGGAGACTATGGAGAATGTAAAGAAATGCAAGAACTTTCTGTCTACACTGATCAAGCTGGCATCCAGTGGGAATCAGTCCACAGAGACGGCAGCCACTGTGAGACAGCTGGTCAAAGACCTGCTGGTAAGTGTGCTTTAGAGTGAAAACACTCTTTTTAACTTCATATCAATGCTTGAAATTTCAAATGATTCAAATGAACACACTGACTAAATAAAAAGTAGCCTATATATAAAACATTTCTTTTTCCTAGGAAGCTAAGCTTGAAGCTGAAGAATTCACCAGCAGATTGTACAAAGAGCTGAATTCGTCACCCCAACCTTACCTTGTGCCTTTTCTGAAGGTTTGAGCTATTGTGTTCTATATTATGCTCTAAGTGTTTATGTTTCAGCCAATAACAGCACCCTTTAAGGTTATACATTGCATGTGGAAAATACTCACAATGTCAGAAAATATTTTTCCAAATTCAGTCATTTTAAAGCCCTAATTCAATTGGTATGAAATGGATATCTTTCCTCGAAATTCTATATATAATGCCCCTTTATAATAGCATAAGGAAAATTTTTTTGAGATGTTTGGAAATTCATTACACTTAGAAAACGTAAGAAATCACATTTATGTAAGTATTCACAGCCTTGTCAACCGGGACATATAGCTGTGACAAAAGCAAGAAAAAAAGCTGCTGAGCCCACAGCCAGACCAAAATAGACAAAGCATATCAGGATCCATGATTTGATTACTGGAAGAAGAACAAAAAGAGTGCTACAAGCTTATGTTGTGATTTTATCCCCATGTGTTTTGCTGCTATTTCATTTGTTAACGTAACTGGCTAAAACCAAACCTTTTGAGGCGGGCACTGGGAGTCGCTTTGCCCGGTCACCTTGGAAGGTTCTACTAAATATCTACTAGTCACCAATTGATGGCGTGTTTAACTAAACCAAAGTGCTACATATTATCAATCTGGCTATCCTGATTACTTTAAGCTGCAGGAACTTTGCAAGGATGTTTAGTGAACACAGTTTCCATCTTGGCCTAATCTAGAGCTTCATAGCAAAGGCCCTCTATATTTACCCAAATGTGATTTCTTAGTTTTATAGTTTTAGTGCATTTGCAACAAATAACAAAACAAAAACACCAAGTTCACATTGCAATAAAGGGATATTGTTTGTAGAATTTAGATTTTTTTTTTTTTTTTTTTTTTGGTTAACTGGTTTTTGGGTTAACCTCAAATAATTTCATTTTTGTCTTGCATTAATTCTGTAGAGGAGCCTCCCAGCCTTGAGGCAGCTCACCCCGGATTCAGCTACTTTCATCCAGCAGAGTCAGCTTCCACAAACAGCCTCAGCTGCTGTTTCGTCCTCCTCAGCCACCTCCACCTCAGTGATTCTGGGAAGTCCTGCTCCCCGTCTCTCTGTTCCAGGCAGCAGGCCCCAACTTCAGCCGACACTTAAACAAGGACAGACAACGTCACTGGTATCACTGCACAGTCATATATCTGCAATGTTTCAGTTATGCATGTGTTATTAATAAAAAAATATTCTTCAGTGGACAAATATCTGTACTCTCAGAACGACAATATTTTTAGCAATAGCTCATTAACAATTTGGCATTAAAGCATTTGAAAGTAATTGAATTTTTGACATCATTTGGAAATTTATACAGTAAGGATATGACTACCATTCTCTCCAGGTACTCCGGCTTCCTCCCACAGTCCAAAAACATGACTGTTAGGTTAATTGGCTTCTCTAAATTCTCCTTAGGTGTGAGTGTGCGTATGAATGGTCGTTTGTCCTGTTTGTCTCTGTGTTGCCCTGCGATGGACTGGCGACCTGTCCAGGGTGTACCCCTCCTCTCGCCAATAGACAGCTGGAGATAGGCACCATCAGAAAATGGGTGGATGGATGGATGGATGGATATGATGGATATGACTACCAAAGACACATTCATTTCCCCTATGCAGTCTTAAACCAAAGACCAAAGTCCATAGGCTGGGACTATCGTAAACAGACCCACAAACTTGTTTGTTTACGATAAGATTTCCTTTTGAATTGTTAATTGTTCTTTATATTTTTCACAAGTAAATTGGATGTACTGGGTAAATGAAATTGGTAAAATCTTAGCTTGTCCATCTGATTGAGCAGATGGTTTGAACCTCTTGCATTTAGAGCTCTGACTGCTTATGTTGCAATAAGGGTGTGAACTTTTAATACCAAATTGGCTTCATAAATAAGATGTATTTTTATCAGAAAGCTGTCCACCACATTTGTAACATTATGTCTCGCATATGTAGCTATAGACTCATTTGGCCAGGTTAAACTCTGGATTACTTTTTACTATAATACTTCTATTATCATCATAGTAGGCCTATGGGGGCACAGACTTGCATCAGACTACATGTATAATGACTGGCTTATTCCTATTTCTTTTTTAATTTTTGTGACATTCTGAATCGTTTTAAACATTCATCATACTCCATCTGTGTGTAGTAATGTGTTCCTAATAGCAAAATTGGGGCACATTCATGCCATCACTATAATGTGGTATTCATTACCATGGTTAGCTGTTAGCTGCAGCAGCTAGACTCTGTTGCATGTTTTGATCCAGACATTGCAGAACAAACTGGTACAAAATGATGGACTTCTTGTTTTTAGCAAGATCTCTGTAGTGAAACTGATGTCATGTTGCTTGGGTGTAACAACTATCCCTTAGGTGTGTTTGCAGTCTTTTTGTGATATCCAGAAATTACCATTGCCATGGTTATTTGGACATGTGGTGGGTTCCCTACTCAGTATTTATACTGATCTGTACCCAGTGGGTGAAAAATGGATGTGATGCCATCAGTTCCATCCAAAATGGGATGTATGAAGACAAAATATCCAGTAGCAAGTGTACGCTAATTTTAAACACCCAGAATTTGTGCAATGCAAGTTTTCTTTAAATTCTTGTTACTGCCCACTTTTAGTATGAAAACCTTATCTTTATATTTGAGGCTGCTGGGGTGAAACTTTGCAACATGATCTCTTTGAAATCTTAACAAATGACTTTAATCAACATATAAAATGTTTTGAAATCCACAGATGCTTAAAGTACACCTCCGTGCTTTAATTTATTATTTCCTTAATTCCTAGATGATTGGATCAATGAATTTGAATGTATGCCAAAGGGGGAAAAAGTGACTGTATTCCAATGTTTAAAAAAAAAAAAAAATACTACAAAGTCACATGTTGAAATTTATAGTTGACTGAAAATATGAGCCTTAGAAATGTTGTTAACACAATTCTTGGGATTTACAATTAATCTGAAATGTTTTCCTCTTTCACTAAAAAAATAATCAATTGATTTGCTGTAGATTTATATTTGACTCAGGTCCTTGCAGCAGATAGGTGCTAACAATCCAAAATCAGCTTCATCTTGATGGATGCTTCATTGAATACAAATAAATGAAACTTTAGAGAAGGATCCTGAAAAAACTGGAGCAATTTAATTGAGGCATGTTTTTTGCACTAAGCATCATTTTTCCATTGATGCACAGAACTATTTTATGCAACAGTGATGCAACAGTTGTTTAGCATCAATTACATCTTTATCTAAGAGACATGATGCATTTTTTGTTAACTTGAAATATTACTTGTGTTTGTGCTTTTTTCTTTTTTTTTTTGCACCCTAAGGCTTGATTCAGGATGATGGGTAACATCATCATGAATCAAGAAGAGTTAAACAGGCCACACAAAATGCAGGGAGGGAGTGTAGTTTCCTTTATGGAGAGTAGAAGGTGTACTGCTGGGAAAGAAAGACATGCACTAAAATAAGACTTGACAAACAAAAATATCATCACCAAATGAAACGCAGCACAATAACTATCTGATCGGTTCAGATTTATATATCAGATTATTATTCCATAGATATAAATTGTATTTTATCCCAAAACGGTTCTTTAATACTTTTTTTTTTTTTTTTTTTTAACCATGTGTTTTTTGGAACTTTGATTAGAGTTTAATATTTGGGTATCAAACCTTCCCCTTCAGGTTCTCCATCCTCAGCAGCAAAAAGGGATTTTGAGGCCTCCGGTGACTTTACCAACCACCCCCATGATGGCTCTAAGGAATCAGACCCCTGGTCGCATCGTGTTGGGACAGCAGCAAGTTCAGCTTAAAGAGCTGCAACCAGGTGAGAGTTAGTCCTTAAGCCCATGTCTAAAATTGGATGTTTAGGCACCTTTTTTTTTTTTGTTTGATGTAAAGCATTATAATGGCTTTTATTATAAATTGTTTCATAGATGAAGTTGGTGTAGTCAGGTGCTTCTTCTCTCCTGCATTCAGATAGTTATTCTGTGATTTTTGTTTTGTCCTGGCAGTTCCACTGAGACCAGAGGTGGCTCTTGTTCCTAAACACGTGTCTGCTGTTGCTTTGACACAGGCACAGAAGAATAAGCTAAAAGAGGCGGGTGGCACTTTCAAGTAAGATTGATTCTCTTTTTGCACTTTTTTTTATAAAGCTTATGGATTTACCCAAAGGCAACACTGATCAATCTTTCTCAGATTTCTTAATTTTGGGTGATTAAAACTTGCCTTCTCTACCTCAGCCACTCAATATAGTAGAGGATTGAATGATAAATGTTTACATGAATTTTTACAGATGCCGTCATTTCCCTTGAATTCCAGTCTCCAGCCTTGCATGCCACAGTTTAATATCAATATATACGTAGCTCGTTCTGCTTCTGTATACACAGGGATGATGACGACATCAACGACGTGGCCTCCATGGCGGGAGTAAACCTATCAGAGGAGAGTGCTAATATCCTGGCTTCTAACTCTGGACTTGTTGGTGCTGTGACACATTCCTGTAAGGATGAGGCTTTTCTCTCCTGTGCCACACTGCAGAGGAGGATACTAGAGATAGGTGAGACTCCATGCTTCATAACCTAATAATGAACCCATTGGTGAGGCTCCTATCATACAGTTTGTTTTTGTTCCAGGTATGAGATATGGAGTAACAGAGCTGGGAGCAGAGGTGGTAAATTACATCTCCCACGCTGCTCAGCAGCGACTCCTGAACTTACTTGAAAAGGTCTCTATAGTAGCCCAGCAGAGAAACGTCAACTTCAAGGTTTGTTGATGAAATAGAGGATTTTCTAAACGTGGGGCTGAGGGTTAATCAATTTTATGGATGCATCACATTTTCTGTTTATGAAGATTTTCTTTTGAGGAAATCTTTGTGTTTTTTCTCACCATTGTTTCCCATAGGCTACCATAGCTCAAAGTGACATCAGTTCATCACTTTTTGTTATTAGGTTTCTACTCATGACTGATAAACTAGATCATTGTATCATGCCACAAGCTGCACACATAAAGTCTTATATTTTTATTACTTTATAAGCATGTTTAGTAGCTTGAATTTTGTTGTCATTAATTAAGGAAACTGCCTGTAGGGGATGATTGAAATAAAAGTAAGTCTTTATAAGTAGTGTATGTCATTTGTGAGTTTTATCATAAATATAACGGTTAAAAAAAAGAATAATTCAATTTGGTTGAAAAAAAAAATTATGATTTGGTTTGTAAGCCACATCTCTGAGTCCTACCTAAATGAATCCATTCAGCATTTACTTGTATAAGCAGTTGATGTGGAATAATATGTCAAAACCAATTCAACAGGAGGACGAGCGCTATGAGCAGAGCAGTGATGTTCGAGCCCAGCTGAAGTTCTTGGAGCAGCTGGACCAACTGGAGAAGCAGAGAAAGGAGGAGCAGGAGAGGGAGATCCTGCTGAAGGCAGCTAAGGTACGTCACTATATTAAACTCTGAATAGTGAAACCTGTTGCTTTCTTCATGTAGCTGATCCCCCATTTGTTATTGTTTTTCTTAAACGGCTAACTTAACTGTTTTGCCCACAGCTAATGTTTATTCCCTCAGCAGCTTCACAGTTGATATGACCGTTCTGTACACTGTGACTCAAGGTTGCTGTAGTTGATTTCAGGTTGGATATCATGGAGCACTCAGCCTGCAAGCATCTTAATAGAACTGTGATTCATCAAATGAAACTAGGTTTGAATTTTAAACTAAAGATTTACCCGCAAGCATTATGTATATAGTGATTCATTGATTTCAGTTAGCCTTAATATACTACAGCTTTTCTTTAAAAAATGTATACATATATCCTGCATTGGCATAACATAACAGATTCAAGTTTTAGAAGTTTTACATTTTTATGGAATATTTGGATAGCATTTCTTCAAAAAATACCACCAACAACACTGGTAGTATTTTGTACCACAGTTTTTCTTGTCATTAGTTTGGAAACCATTTCTTTTGTATTATTCCCCACAATATCAACATCTTACAAAAGAAAATATATTCATACTATTTTTGTAAAGTTTGATTCTTTTAAAACAAAATGGTCCTCTAAAAATATTACCAGAAAATTAAAAGCTTTTTTTCCTCCTTTTATTTAAAGGTTCATGTAAAATTTGGACCTCTAAACAAGTTTCCTATAGCTAAAAAATGGCCATTTGGATAGTAAAGGTTGCAGAGCCCGGTTCGAACATACTGAGTGACCCTCATGCTGTTAAGTTACTAAAATGTATTCCTCACTTTGAGAAATCTGGATGTGTATTATCTGACCCTGAAAAATGTTAAATTAGTTGATACATTTGATGTTAAATCCTCTCAAATATGCCTTGAAAGTAATAAAGTTACCTACAAACTTTCAGAAATCTTATATTTTCCCCATTTTCATATTTTAATACTTATTTCCTGCTGTAGTCTTATTTTCAAAGAAGCTTTTGTCTGTTAAGCCTTCATATAAAGTCACAATGGCCTCAAGGCCTCTGCTTTTCCTTCAGAAACGTTTAACATTATGCTTGCTAAGTGTGGAGGCTGAGTTAAAGGTTTGATGTTTCTTTGCGATTCTTCTGAACCTTTGGGGTTATTTCTGAAAACACTGGTTCCTGTATTTAATATTTAACATTGTGAATATGCATTATCTGTGTTAAACAATGGACTTTGAACTGTTTTGAAATGATCTGATCATCCTTTAAAGAATGAAGGCCTGAAACTGTTTGTTCTTCCAGTTTATCCCTACTATGTTTTTTTTGTCTTAGGCTAAGTGGTGAAGCACAGCAAACTCTGTAATTATTTATCAAGTTCCTTTATTTTGCATCACTTGTGTACAAATTCTCATAATTTGTGGAGAAGTCAGCAGCTTTTTTTGGCTTAGTTTGTTTAGTTGAATTATGAAGCATTTGTCTTGAACATCTGATAAATTATTATTCTTCATGTTGGCCTTTCAGTCTCGCGCTCGGCAAGAGGATCCAGAGCAGCTGCGTCTGAAATTGAAAGCGAAAGAGGTAGGAGGAGAGCTTGATTCTATTGTGTAGGTCTCTCCATCACATTTACACTCTATATACGACTGATTCAGTTTTGGGTGTGTGTGTGTGTTGTCCAGATGCAGATGCAGGAGCTGGCTCAGATGAGACAGAGGGAAGCCAACCTCACCGCCTTGGCAGCCATCGGGCCCAGGAAAAAGAGAAAGAATCTGGACTCTCCATCCTCATCTGCTTCAGCTGAGGTAACAATGAAGACAATAATTAATGTTTGCACAATTTGTGCCCGTGCACCTGCAGCAGCCATGGCCAGATACATCGTGTTTCTTGGTCATCTTCACGTCCCTTTGTATATTTTTCCATCTGTTTCATTTTCATTAGCAAACATCAGAGGAAAACTGAGGAAGATTAGCCTGTGAATTTTCTATCATTACATTAACAGCATAATTCAGAAACGGGAAGAGAGTGGACTGATAGCTGCTACTTACTCGGCTTCAATAGTACTTATAAAACTGTAATTTTTTTTTTTTACTGATTAAATGACGAATATAGGCTGTTAATTTAAAGAATGATGAATGATTAGATTCCATTTGTGAACCGTTTTGAAAAGCAACGTGTGGTATGTGTGTATGTTTTCATCCCCCTGAAACTCCTTTCCTTGCTGTAATGGCAGCAAGGTTGGGGTGCAATGCTTCTAGTCTTTTACATCTAGAGCTATTTTTACCAATTTTTCTTTTTGCAAATTGATGTAACTTCAGTATGTTTGGATGAAGGTTTGGGGTTTTCCTTCAGGAATATCTGCACCAGTCTCTGGTCTTTGCTGCCAGAATAACCCTGTCATCTGGCTCTTTCAATCCTCCCATCAAAGCAACCTCTACCCCTTCTCTAAAAGCATTCCTTCTGCATCATGCTGCCACCGCCATGCTTAACAGCAGGGATGGTTTGTTCTGGGGTATTTGCAGTTGGGTTACTCTACCACATAGGTTTTATATATGTAAGCCAAAAGTTAAAATTTGTTTTCATCTTCTACATATCTAGAGTGTCCTGATGGCTTAAACCGAACTACAAACAAAACTTTGTTTAAACAGGCTTTTCCAAAAGGCCTCCAGAGTCTGATTAATGCTCCTCTCTCTCTTAGCTTGTCAAATTAGAAATGCAGCCAGGTTTGGGTGCATTTGCAGCTTTACCACATGCTCTTTTATTTTCAGAAGATAGAATAGACATTTTTCCAAGGTCTCTCTCCCTAAACTGTCTGCTATGTTCCTTGGTCTTAATGACGCAGCTTGTTCTCTAATGATCTCTGACAGACAAGTATGGCCTTTGCAGAACAGCTGGTTAAACACACCGAGATTGGCTCTGCTAATTAGGTGGCTTCAGATGACAGTTGCCTATTCTCAGTTTTATGCAGGGATCTCAGAATAGATAGCACTAAATACATAGCCCACTTTAAGGTTAGTAATTTGTAAAACAAAACCGAAAACCATCTAGGATTTTTTTTTAAACCATTTGCGACCATACACTTTTTTTGTGTCCACTTTTAATGAAACGTGAACTTTCATGGTGTGAATGGGAGTTGGAGTCACTGAATATGTTTACAACCCTAAACCTTAATAATAAAAAAGAGAGTTTAAAAAGATCTTTGTTTTATTAAGGGTTATTAAGATTAGCATTAAGAGTCTAGATTGCTCCTTAGAAATTGTATTAGTGATTGAAGGCTGAATTTGTCAGCTGTCAGTGGTGTTCCTCACCAACTGCTGCCAGTCATATGTGCAGAGAAACCTGCAGGATAACACCTCATATTAGACCAAGCTGATTCATGTAAACATAGATCACATTAAAACAAGTTGGATTCTCTTTAGTCCAATGAAATTAGACATTCATCTTAGATGGCCATCCTTTACTCCTCTGGCTATTCTAATGGTCATCTTTAAGAGAAAATCATTTATTAGCCATTATAGAGAATCTTAAGTATTTTTTTAGATTCATTTACTTTTATATATTCATTTCAGTTTGTATTTATTTATTCACAAAATGTGATTTTTTTAAGGTGCTTTAAAGGGAACTTAATCAGATCCTACAGTAAGACTGACTTTCCAGGATGTGCTTCTCCTGGATCAGGATGGGGCAACATTTGCCAACCTAATCTCTCATTTTGGGTCCGTTTACCACAGTCTCTATGAGCTCCCCTGCTCATCACTGATCAGTGTAATCTGCTTTGTTTTTGGCCTGTGGGTGGAATGTGGAGGAGAAGTGTGTTCAAAAGAACATGGAGGCTTTAAGTCAATGAAAGATCCAGCCATATGGAGTTGTGTGTGCAACCAGCTCTGCTTTCTCTGTTGCCCAGCAGTATTCGTTCTCTGTAACAACTATGACCTTTATTGTTGGGGCACACACTTTGACATGCCTGGAGACAGTATTTATACTTCTTGATGTTTGTTGCATTTTGACACTTTTTAACGAAGAACTTGAGCATTCATTATTGGAGTTTGCCGATCTATCAGCTGAATTTTTTTAAAATAAGATTAATGTAGTGTTTTTTTTTATTTTATTTGTTTTATTCTATGCTACACTTATATATTTTTTTGGTCTCTTTAATAATTGAGCACAGTTCTTTTTTTCTTTTGATCTGTTCTCCATGTTGGAGGTGATGTCCATATCTCCCCTTAATATTCAAACTACCCAGTGACATTGCTCGGATTCAGCTGCAGCTGTGGTGAAGCGGCTATGCACCAGAGCAGCAATGCTGCATTTCATCGGTTAGAGAAGCACCTTCCTGACCATCAGCTGGTTCGGCTGAACCTGGTCCCTTCACCCCTACTTTCAAAGCTGGCTCTCTGTCTGCTGGCAGGGCCTGCAGAAGGCGAGGTTCACATTTTCTCATGTTTACATGGAAATAGGGCAGTAAATGTGTTTAAAAATACTGCAGCTTTTAGTCCCATTAAGAGTCAGTTTATCTGCCTAAATTTTTAGTATAATTTTGACATTTTTCAGCATAACCACCGTTTGTCCCAAAATGCACCGAACAGAGCCATGGTTTGATGTCAGTCCAACACTAAGAGGTCCTAATGGAAGTGGAAGGACAGTGATTGATTAATCCCAACTGTTTTTACAATAAACATAGTAAAAGTGTACTGTTATATTTACTGGCTCCATTAAGATAACCCTAAATTAATTTACCTTTTAATGTCTCCTTATTGGTAAATTCAGTCCATCTGTTAGTTTAGTTTATTGTGACCATTCTGTAAAGGCCTTAGAGGATTGGTAAAACTTAAGTAAACACAAAGCATAAAGACCAAGAGGCACAGCAGGCAGGGGTTAGTTATATAAATGGAACCAATATCCAATCCAGGTAGTGGATTGGTGCATCTCTACTTCTAACTAAACGGTCAGCAAGGATAGCAGTTGGTTTATCAGGGAAGTAGGGGAGCAGTCAATGGTTACTTTGGAGGAGCTGGAGAAAGCACCAGGTAATATGGGAAAATCTGTTCACAGAACAAGTACTAATCATACACTTCACAAATATAATGTTTTTGGTAGAGGAACAAGAAGAAATAACTTGTTGAAGGAAAAATAAGTCATGGGTTGAAGTTTGCATAAGGCCAGTATAGACAGTATACATATAATGGAAGGGGCTCTGGTCATATGAGATTTACATTGAAGTTTTTGGTCTAAATGGACAATCACATGTTACAGAATATCCACTGTGAAACATTTTGGCAACTGCATTGTTCCTTAAGGGTTTCTTCACCAGGGACACTAGAGGCTGTTCAGAGCAATCTTTGAGGAAAATCTGTTGCAGGCTACAAAGAAAAATAGACCAGAGTGGAGGTTTATTCTCCAATAGAAAGTCCTAGAGGCAGAGCTAAACTAAAGGGGTTTGAATCCAAGCATGTGGTGGAATTGCCCAGTCAAACTTCACACCCAAGTTTAATAGAACATTTTTGACTGGACTTGAAACCAAATGTTAGAATGTAGTAGTGACCCTCCGAAAAGACATGCAGTTAAATGTAGTTATGCCAAGTGTAATAGGAATGCTAAGAGAGGCTGAAAACACAACCATGCCACATTTTTCTCTGTTTAAAACAAAAATGAAATTAAAAAAACATAAAGAAAAAAAAATCCCTTGCATTTCCTTTGACACGCATTACCCGGTCTGTGGCTGTAACATGATATATGACATTTTAAGATGCAGTCTTCATGCTAATGGTCTCATTTTCCTTTAACTTTTCCATATCTTTTAGGGCTCCGGAACAGGCTCTTCTCTGACTGGTGCCGCCGGTTCATCAGGCTCCAGACCCACACGGCAGCGCATCACACGTGTCAATCTCAGGGACCTGCTGTTCTGCATGGAGAATGAGAGATGTACCAGTCACTCTCATTTCCTCTACAAGGGCTTTCTCAAATAGGCTTGATGTTGGAAAAAGGAGGACAAGAGGGGAAGAGAAATGCTTGGAGAGACCAAACTCCCACTTGAAAAGATTACTTTTAGTAAAGAAGAGGAGATAATGCTTTTAAAGTTTCTTTAGATCCACCTGCTTTTATGAAATACAGTCATAGCCATACTGGAAGGCCTCTCTACCTCCCTCCTCAAGTAATGCCTCTTTTCCTTTAGTCGTTGATTAACACCCCTTTATTTACCATAACTAAACCTTTTTCAAAGTAGGTGCAAAAATCAAATATGTTTTATGAAGGTTTTATTCTGTGTGAAAAAAGATAATGTACACATGTGCACTGTATTATAGTTTGGTTTATTTTCTTATCTGTATGCAAATGCTAGAGTTGGAAGCTATGAAAATCACTGTTTTATTAGACAACCTTTGAGTTTTTCTTGGATGATCTTGTTCTAGTTTTTCTTGTTGACTCACTTTGAACTGTGTAACCTGCTGAGCTGCCTTCCTATCTATGAATAAGCCATACTTTCCTCTCATAATTAACCCTGCTGTAAGTCATGAGGCCACACCTCCCTCTCTGTCATCTACCATTAGCTTGCAGCATATTTAAATTTGTCATATTTATTTACTAAAATCCAATTTTTAGCTATTTATTTATTGTGTGACACCTCAAGTGTGTCATTTTGCTAAAAGCTAATAGAAATTGCATTTTACTCACAGTAGGACATCTTTGAGATGGCTCTATAGATTTTGATGGCTTAGAAGTAGAACTTTATTTTAATCTATCCTTTAAAAAATATTTAAATGTACTGATTTTTAAAACTTTTTTTTTTAGGCTTTTAACCTCTATTGCTATACCAAAATTGCATCTTTATAAGACTCTATTTTTATAGCCTCCCAAAATTCATTTTTACTTCTCTAATGGTGACTGACAGCAATGATGTCTTTGTTATGCTACTGAAAAGCCCTTTAGGTCTATAATGTGTTTGATTTAAGAAACTGGAGTTTATTCCTGTGTATTTGTAAATGTTTCATCTAAAGTTTTACACAGTTTTGTATAGAATTGAAGTTTTATGCTTACTGCATTTAGAAAATCTAAAGTTCTCTATTGAAAAGTTTGAATAAAAGATGATTTTACATATTTCTGTTCTTTTCAATTCCAGTCATGGTGTTTTTCTTCTTTTTTCCACCAGGGGGCAGCATGTTAATATGTGCCACTTTGGGGATTTGTGCATAAAGGAGCTGCATTCAAGCATTTCAGCCTGTCCACTCATAATTTGACCTAAACCCTAACATCTGTAAAGCCACCTGTAGTACACTCTACGCACAGGTCTGTAAAGCACAGCACAATCAGTCGGCTCAGAATGAAATCACACAGCCTGGTTCCCTTCTGCCTGACTTTGAGTCTTCTTGTTTAAGTCTTTCTCCATTATCACTCACTGCACACAGCACTGGCAACAGCTGTCACATCAGCTGCTAACATTTGCCATAATAAACCATTTGCTGGAAATGATGAGGCCTATTCTTCCACTGGGAAGGCAGACTCATGGCTTAATGATAAGCCATGAGTAGCATGTTGGTGGGTTTTTATTTAAGATAGACCAAAACAGCTATCTAAAATGGAAGAAGTTTTTTTTCTTACAATCAGAAACCTGAACAGTATGGTGTGCAACTGAACTCATCCACCCAAGTAAACAGCCTGTAGAACCACTTTTTTCTGCAATTACAGCTGCAACTCTTTCTGTTACATCTTTACTACTGTAGCATTTCAAATTTAAAGCCCTGCATTTAAATAACATTTTCCACACATTAGTTTTACCTTCTTACTTAATAAAAAAAAACTTAAATTTATTGATCGTATAAAAGATATTCCCCAGGTTTACTTTTTATTCTATTTTGACCAACACAAAAGTGCCCAGCTGTGAAATGAAAGGACAGATTGCTCCTTCCATCTTTCTATAAGTGTAATTTTTCACTTAGAGGTCAAAATGTGCTTACTTTTCATATATCTCCTTCAATTGGATGCATTATTTTATATTTTGAAAGATTCCTTTCATAAAGGAGCTATATACCTGCATAGATTACAAGTAAACCCTTAGCAAAAAGTAGTATACTTGAAGTAATAGTAGTAAGTAATGAAATTAGTGCACTTTTAGTATACTTGAATGAACTACTTTTTGCTAAGGGAAACTGGCCACCCTGACTGTTTAGGTTAGGCATGTCTTTAAAGCTATAATAATTGTTTAATAATATTTACAATTCAAAATGATTTAGCAGTGCTCTGTGGATACTCACAGCTGGAGTTTAACAAATAACTTGGTTAAATTTTCCATAACTTTCTACCTGAGCTGCTGTTTTTTTATTTTTTGCTTTTTATGGCGCTTATTGAAAGCAAAAGCTTAAAAAAAATTCCTTATGTTAGCTAAAAATATACCTTTAATAATAAAGCAATCTTTGTACTCTATGGCTGAATGGGACAGTTAAAATGGTTTGTGTGTTTTATGGTATGCACTCCAATCAGAGCTGAGGGAGGGAAAAACTTTTTTAGGTTAATATATCTGTACTGCCACTAGATGGCAGTATTTCATTCCCTTTATTCAGTCTATCTGTTGCCCATAGAATCTTTCTTTTAAACCTTGGGTTTTAATAACAATCAAAACTTTCATTTCCATCTCTTCATCAAGCAACCAGTCTGCTTTGTGTTTTATATCATCCACCTGTGTTGTAAATTATCAATCCAGAAACACCATGTTCCTGGAGGAAAGTTACATCAGGCTCTCTCACTTGTGGGAACATTCTCAGTGAGGCCTGACGGCCTCTCACTGTGTCTCTGTTTGATGGCAGCAGGGACTCAGGTAAGGCCTCGGCCCTTGTGTCTCAGCCCAATCCAATATTTTTCCTTGTAATCCTCCCTTCCACTCCTCAGCCCTACTGCTCTTTCCGAGTTAAGTCCACATAAGCTCCCACTTGAGTGCCAGAGGCAAAGCAGCGCCAGGGATGGTGCGGTTGCTTAGCGACGCCTCAGTCGCTGCACCTGAGGGTGTTGGGTAAACACCCTGAGCCTGCCAGAGGGAAGAAGAGACGAGTGACATCCCCCCCTGCCTCCCTCTATGACATTTATTACAAAAAGGCTTTTATTAACGTCTCACACTCTGTGTTGCTGTTTCGGCTTTCACCCCAGGGTGAGATCATTAATGAGTGTCATGCGAGTTCAAGTGGGAGTGTGTGTGTGTGTGTGTGCTAATCTGTTCTCCACAGTTGTCAATTTTGTCAGATTCTGAGATGGGATTTGACTGATATGATAGTTTATCTCAGCGGGGTGTGCCTGCTGCACTTCCATGAGAAAATTCTAATCTAACACAAGCTTTCTCTATTCACTCTCCCAGGGAATCTTGTTGCAGCTTGTACCTTAACTCTGATTACGGTAGAATCCCTATAGCTTTCTAAATACTGAAATTTAGAGCCTATTTTATTGTGATGTTATCTTTGCACCCAGGGAATAAAAATAAATAAATCAATTCCAGGCCCCCATTGTATTCATGCTGTGAGACAAATGCATTGGTAGTCTGTAAATTGTTTTAGCTCTTCCAACACCTCCTTGCATAATGTTGATTAAGTTGGGGGTTTATGAATAAAACTCTGCTTGAAGGGACTGCAGGATGTGATTGAGGTGAACTGATGTGGCACAATGTGATTCAGTCAGTGCACTTTATCTTCCATTAGGATGCACAAATCCAGCAGCCTGGAACCGCTTTTATTCCTGAATGAAATTGAATGAAATCATTTGGAGCCCGCCAACATAATTAAACGCTGAAATATAAAATGTAGCAACAGTTCATTAGCTCCTGCATCCTCACGACTCCATTTCTTGTTCGTCTCTGGCCTGTTTCCCACCTGGGTTAATGTTGACTTCAGGACTCTTTTGTTATGAGGCTGACCGGAGCACACTGCTCTGGCCCCGAGATACTATAATAAGGCTGGTGTTTATGACCGGCAGCTGAAATGGGTTTGTAAGCGCCACTGAACCTGTGAGGTATTGATACTGGGGTTAATAGCCTGTTGGCCTCTTTAATGGAGCTGATTCAGGCCAAGCAGCACACAGTGTCAGCCCAAAGGACAAGAGCATCTCCTCTTAGAAAGTCGTCTGTTGGATGATTCAAGGTCAGAAACCAAAATGTGTTGTGCACTAAGTGGTCCAAACTCTGTATGTTCTGCAGCTTTCATTTGACATTATTCCTGCTGAAAACATTGAGCATTTAATCACATTTATACTTGCAAAAACCGACAGCCACCATTTTCAGTCTGAATGCATATATTAGGCAGACATAATGTAGAGCCTAATTGGGAAGTCGAACATATAATACACGGTTTTCAGAATACCGATGGAGGTCTTTACCAACTTTGCAAAGCTGTCCGAGCTGCCTCCAACTGTCCTTGTGATGTTAATTGCAGGTTCCCTCCACTGGCTGGCAGATTTATGGTAATGAACACTACAAAAACGGACACATGTTGATTTCCTGCATTTAGTCTTAGCTCCATGAATAATTTAGCCTGACAGATACAAACAGAAACATGTGTTTGTATCCTGGTTATACCATGCTAAACGTATGTAAATAATATTAGATGTCGCTAATATATTATTAATAATGCAAAGCCTTTCAGTATATAAATGCATTGTATATATATATATATATATATATATATATATATATATATATATATATATATATATATATATATATATATATATATATATATATATATATATATGCAAATGCAATATATATATATGTAGTGAATTTTCCAGTCATATTCCAATGGTTCATGAATAAGATGTAGACTATTTTTTAAAGACATCTGGCTGGTGACTGGCTTTATACATATAAGCCTTTTTTGATTTGTTTCATGTTGCAGACATAGTGGCTACATGCATCTTTAATGCAAAAGCAGCATGTGAAAAAGTCTCATTGAACAGCATTTCAAGTCACATTTTTATTTATGTATCACCCACTGATGTGTAATGTGCCTTGAGCTCTGCTTTATAGAGGATTACCTCTGCAAAATGAAACCCCGCTAGTTGGTTAAGATAACGGTTGCGCTGCACTTTTTTAGCATTTTGATTGATGAGCACTTTATGAGTGATCTAAAACTTGGAATGTGGTTTTAATCTCGAACATTGTTTCATACTTCTACACTGCCCTGTCTGCTGTGTTCCTTTGTTTTCCTTTGTTTTTTTTGAGTCTTCACAGAACATATGGATTTATAGACTGTTAAATAATTAGGGATATCACAGTAAATATTTGTAAAAGAATATCTAACTTTCAAAAATTAATTTCCTTCCACCTCAGGAACCCTAAGCCCATTTTCCTTGAAATTACACGCTCCAATTAAAAGTGTATCACTGCAAACACAAGGTCAATAAAAAAATAGAAATAAAAAAAAACTGTCTCAAATTAAAGAAAATACTTGTTAGATTTATACACATCTGTAAATGTTAGTACATACGCTACTGATAAAGAGTAAACAAAGATGACACACAAAAAATACATTTATGTACATTTCTCCACTGTGAGATCAATAAAGTCAATCAATCAATCAGTCAATCAAAATGTAAAAAAATCTCACCAAAAAAAAACACTTTAAACATCACAGTTGGCACTATCTTCATTTTCTCATGTAGAAAGCTTTAGATTTTGTTATTTTGTTTTGTTATAAGTATAATTCAATCCAAAGATTTTGGACAAATAATAAAAAATTTAACCACACACAAACATGTCTGTCA